ACCCTGCCCCGCCCCGCCCCCTCCCGGCCTTCCAGGTGCCCTGTACCTGGCATTCCCACTCACCTTGGTCCCGTGTCCTGGGTTGCGTCCCCGGTGCTCCGCCCAGTCCCGCGTGGCCTCCGCGGCGCCCCCTGCTCCCTGGGCAGCGTGGAGGATCTGCCTCGCCTGTCCCCTGTCAGGAGCCGCTGGAGGCCGGGTCATGGCCGCTGGCTGTGGGCTGAAGGTACCCCTCCCTGAGCCTGTGTGGAGCGGGAGCCGGGCTCGGTGGGATCTGAGCGTGTGTGGAGCAGGAGCTGGTCTCGGTGGGATCTGAGCGTGTGTGGAGCGGGAGCCGGTCTCAGTGTGATCTGAGCATGTGGGATCTGAGTGTGTGTGGAGCGGGAGCCGGTCTCGGTGGGATCTGAGCGTGTGTGGAGCTGGTCTTGGTGGGATCTGAGCGTGTGTGATCTGAGTATTTGTGTGTGGAGCGGGAGCCGGTCCCGGGGATGACACGCGTTTGCTCAGCGGGCCTGAGCGCAGCTTGCTGGGCCTCCTCGGGCCAGGGGTGAGCAGCCACGCGGGCCTCGGCCCACGGCAGGTGACCAGCATGTTCTTTGGGTCCTGTGTTGGCAAACCGAGCTGGCTTGGCCTGCACCCTGGGTGGTGAAGTCACAGAGCTGGCTGGGCCCCGGCTGTGGACGCGGGCCCTCCACATCCCTGGGCTCCTGGGAGCATCGTCCAGCGGCCTGCCCACCCCGTGGCCTGCCCACCCCGTGGCCTCGCCTCCAGGGCCGCCTCCCTCCGCTCTGTGTGCAGACTTGCCCGCCCTGTGGTAGGCCCCTCCTCCAGGGCCCCTTCTTTTGGCCCATCCCCTCTGCAGAGACCCCAGCTCCAAGTGGGTCTCATGCTGGGGTGACATGGTACATGATTTAGTTGCGGTGGCTGGCCAGCTACGTGGAGACCTAGGTTTTCATGGCCAAATCAGGGCCAAATCAGGGCAGCACACAGGTTGTGTGTGTGTGTGTGTGTGTGTGTGTGTGTGTGTGTGTGCACGCATGTGTGTTGGGGGTGGGACACACAGCCAGGTCTTTCTGACCTCTTAGGTCCTGTTCTTTGTAGAAGGTTCTCCTTGCTCTGGCTGTGTTAAAGCAGGCTGCTGGGGGGCAGAGCTGGGTTCCGTAGCATGGCGGTGCCCTGGGAGGGGATGCAGGCCGACCCCCCCCCCGCAGGCCTGGGGGCGGAGTGTCTCCCCGGCCGTCCTCCTGCCTCTCCATCCCAGGGAACCTGAGCCGGGGTGGGCGCCTGTGGCTTCACCGCAACCCGAGAGCAGCAATGACGATCCCTGCACCCGTGGGGAGCCGGTGATCGCCTGAGGAACTGGAACTGATGACGATCCCTGCACCCGTGGGGAGCCGGTGATTGCCTGAGGAACTGGAACTGGGGATGGATGGGCAGATTGCCTGCAGCTGCACCGCACCACATCTGATCTCCCTCCTCCTCTGTGACGCCTGGATTTCCAGAGAGTTCTCACCCTGGGGGGAGGGGAGAGGCTCAGGACCAGCTGTAGCCTGGGAAGGTGGGGGAGGGGCACGCACAGGTTGGCCTTTGACCTCAGAGAGGGGCACACGAGAGCGTCCAGGTCCACACACAGGGTGTGGGCTTCTCGTGGGGATGCCCTCCGCCGGACCGTGTTCCTGGCCAGGGGTGTGCGTTAGGTCCGGAGGGGGCAGTGAGCAGGCCCCTCCCATGGAGAGCTGAGTCTGGCCCAGCTCAGTGGTGGAGTGCTTGCCCTGCATGTGTGAGGCCCTGGGTTCGATTCCTCAGCACCATAGAAGCAGAATAAGCTGGAAGTGGCGCTGTGGCTCAGTTGGTAGAGCGCTCGCCTTGAGCTGAAGAGCTGAGGGACAGCGCCCAGGCCCGGAGTTCACGCCTCACGACTGACCAAAAAAAATCCAAAAACCTCAGTCTCGAGGTTTTCCCACAACGCAGCCTTTGCTCTTCGAGACTCACAGACCCACGTGGCTGGCCGTGATCAGCATGGCCAGCCCCGCAAGGCCTGTGCTTTTGTTTTGCTTTGTTTTGTGTTGTGTGTGCGTGCCAGTACTGGGGCTTGAACTCAGGACCTGAATGCTGTGTCTGAGCTCTGGGCTCTGACACTTGAATCACACTTCCACTTTCAGATTTTTGGTGTTTCAGTGGAGGTGAGAGTCTGACCTACGTCATGGCCTGGGCTGCCTTTGAACTCTGATCCTTGAATCTCAGCCTCCTGAGCAGCTGGGCTTGCCGGCGTGAGCCCGTGGCGCCCTGGGCGGTGCTGCTTTGGAAGTGTGTGTGGCTGGCGCCAGGCCCACGCTGCACGGATGAGTCCCCGATCGTCTCCGGCAGCAGTGGTCAGCCTTCAGCGCAGCTGTGCGTCATGACCTCGCTGTTTGCTTTGGCCGTGTGCGCACCGCTTTCGAGCTTCTGTACTTTCTCACAAAAGCTCTGTGGGTGGTCGGTGACCACCCATGTCTGAAACGTCAGACAGAGCCATGCCAGGATGAAGTCACTGGGCAGCACATGGGCCCCTGGCCGTGGATGGAAAGCAGCCGTGTGTGCGGAGCGTGTCCTGACTTCTCATTCCCCCAGCCTGCAGCAGGACGGCTCTTCACAGAACACGCGTGCGTGTGTGCGGGCCAGGTCCTGGAAGACTCTGTTCAAAGTCCATGGGAAGAAGCAGGGCCGCGGTGGCTCACGCCTGTCATCCCAGCTACTCAGGAGGCTGAGAGCTGAGGGCCACGGTTCAAAGCCAGCCCAGACAGGAAAGCCCATGAGACTCTTATCTCTAATAAACCACCAAAAAGCCAGAAGTGGAGGTGTGGCTCAATAGTAGAGAGCCCCCCTTGGGTGAAAAGCACCCAGCCCTGGAGTTCAGGCCCCAGGACTCACACATAAAAAGAAAATAAGTATGTAGGAAGGTGTGCAGGTGTTACGTTCAAGCACTGAGCCGTTTGACACAGGTCTGTCCCAGTGCGGGGACGGCAGCAGGTGACGGGTGAGTGCAGGTACCCCGGACCCCGACCTGCTGATCGGACACTCTGCTGGGGGGGGGTGTGCGCTGTGTGAATACGAGTGTGTGCGTGTTGGCCTGTGTTCTGTGTACCCCGGAGTGTGTGGAGCGCATGGGCAGCAGGTGGGCAGGGCAGGCTGCGGGCAGGAAGGAGTCCAGTGTGGGAGGAGGCCCCGGGCCCCTGCCTAGGCCATTTGCATCTGACGAAGGTCTCCGTCCAGCCAGGAGCACGCTTTTCTCTGTGGCCAGAGAGCCCCGCGAGATCCCATGCCCGGCCCAGCCGCTGGAGGGCCGGAGCGGCGTGGGCCCGCCGGCTTGTGCCACCCTGACCCACGTCTCTGTCCTCCCGCAGAAGTGCATCCGCTTCGACCCGGACGCCACGGTGTGGGTGGCAAAGCAGCGGGTGCTGTGCACGCTCACCCAGGGGCTGAAGGACGTCCTCAACTACGGCCTCTTCCAGCCGGCCAGCAATGGGCGCGACGGCAAGTTCCTGGATGAGGAGCGGCTGCTGCGCGAGTACCCGCAGCCCGTGGGCCAGGGCGTGCCCTCCCTGGAGGTACTGCCGCCCGGGTGGCTTGTGTGTGAGGGCCGGTGCTGTGCAGCCTGTGTGAGCAAGGAGGGCGGGCCCCTCCTGCTCACCCAGGGGCCTCCATGCCCCGTCGTTTGGGACTCTCTGCCTTACATAGGCAGAGATAACTGAAGCACCGCCCACTGGTGATCAGTCCACCCTCTACCCTTCCCCTGTCCTCACCCCTGTCCAGGGTCAGAAGTCACCTCGTAACATAAAAGGGGTCAAGGGTCATCTCAAAGCAAATCAAAGATATTTTCCTACTCAGGGGAGACCCCAGAGACTCAGGGTGCTGTGTCAGGAATGTGGGATGATGTTACTATGCCACATTCCTTGAAGTCCTCCTCGGGGTGGCCGGTGGTCAGAGTACAGACTCTCCTCCTCTTCCAGCCCTGGGAGTGAGTGCTGCAGTCTGGAGCCGCTGCAGCCATTCTGTGCTCCCGGCCATGTGGGGGGTGTGAGGCCCCTCCAGCTGGAGGTGGTATGAGGGAGGGAGCGTCACACGTTCCACTGCGTGGCCCGGTGAGCTGTGTGCGGGAGGACACCAGCCGTTCCCCGAGCGCCCAGCGTGCTGTGGACGGCCTTCCTGCGATGTCCGGGCTCAGGCCGTTTCCTCTGCACAGTGAGGTCTCATCTCTCTTTTCCTCTTCTGTTTCTGGACCAGTTTCGATACAAGAAGCGGGTGTATAAGCAGTCCAACCTGGACGAGAAGCAGCTGGCCAAGCTCCACACGAAGGTACACGGGCGCACCTACCCTCTGGCCGCCAGGATGAAAGCGTGTGTGCGCGAGCTTAAACACAACCCGCCCGCGAACGGCGTGAGAGCCTCAAGTCAGGCCCGTGTCCTGCGCTGCGGCCCTGGAAGGCCTGTGGGGAGAGGTTCTGGGGAGTGAGAGACTGGTCTTCTCACATGGGGTCCTGCTCTGGGCGGATGTGGGGGGGCATCCTCAGAAAGGGGGGGCGGCCCAACCGTATGCTGAGAGCAGGAATCCGTCACCACGCTAACCGACAGGGCCGGGCTGGGGCTGTCCCGCCCCACAGAGGCCCAGCAGTTGACCAGGGCCATCTCGCCTTGCTGTCCGGGCAGCTGGCTCTGGAGGTGAGGTGTGCAGGCCGGCGCCCGCCCCCAGGACAGGGTCGGGGGGCCTGGTGCGTCTCCGGAGCCGCAGACCCTCCAGCTGGCCCCGGGGTGGCGCGTGTGGGCAGCGGGCCCTCAGCGAGGCGCGTGGGCTCCCGGGGCCTTGCACACGATCGGCGTCTGTTCCCCAGTTCTGCAGGCCCCGGGCCTCAGGGTCAGGTGCAGGTGGGGTGAGGGGCCAGCGTGGTGGCCCGTGGGTGTCTTCTCCCCGCTGGAAGGGGTGGTGAAGGGCACCAGTGCCACTTTCCAGGGCTGGACCCCTGTGGCCAGCTCTCCTCCAGAGGCCGCTCCTGGTCCTGTTAAAGGGGCGCAGTGGACACGCTGAACTGGCACTGTGAATGCGGGGCAGGCCTTGTGCTGACTCCACACTCAGCCCCCGGGGTTCCAGCTTCGGGGAGCCCTGCGGCCGGCCATGGCCTCCACAGATGGCCGGCACCCAGTGGAGGAATGGCCTGGGCCCCTGTGGACATTTCCTGTTCCTTTCTGTCCTCTCTAGACCAACCTGAAGAAGTTTATGGACCATACACAGCACCGGTCGGTGGAGAAGCTGGCCAAGCTGCTAGACCGCGGCCTGGACCCCAATTTCCATGACCTGGAGACAGGAGGTGGGTTCTGGGTGGAGAGGCCATCCTGGAGGGCAGCGGGGGTGGCCGGCCGGGCGTCCTGGCTGACCCGCGCCTGCACGCGCTGGTGCTGCCCCCTGCTGTCCGTGGGGCTCCCTGCAGGCGGGGCCTCTGCTCGGGGCTGGCCTCCCAGGCCTGGCGGGGTGCTCAGATGACAGGGGCAGCAGCGTCAGGGGACGATGTCAGGCCCTGTCCAGCCGCCTGGGGTGGGGGCTGGGCAGCCTGGCTGGGCAGCCAGGCTCTGAGGCGGGCGGGCAGAGTGGGCACCGAGGAGAACAGAGGGGCCAGGAGGCGTCACCAGGCCGTCCTGGCTGCCACCGGCCCGGGGTACGCTGGGCTAGCCGCCATCCTCCTGGCTTAGCGGGCAGCCTCCTCCCTGGCCCCCCGG